GGGGGGGGGCCTTAAGTATTGAAAAGACAGTTTAAATTAATCCTGTGTACCGTACACCTGTACATAAACATTTAGTCTTTGTTGTACAATATGTACATGTACATGTACTGTGTGACATTATACACAGAAGTGATTTTAAATAAAAAAAAAAAAAATGAGAATATACCTACTTATGCATACACCGTACATACCAAGTTTCAATCCAATCAGACTACATGTACTTGTAGGGCTTTAAACTATGCACTTTTAAGATGATGTCACATAACCCATGATGATGTCATCATGACATCACCTCAAGTTTTACCCGTTACACCTTCTTGTCTGCGTACTGGTACATACCAAGTTTGAACCCAATTGAGATTATTGTCTTCCAATGGTTCAACACAATTGGTGTCTTCGTGTTCTGAAATACAGGTTAAAAAAAAGCGGAACCCAAACCCTCAAAAATGTATTTCATATTGAAAAAAATAAGTAGCACCAAAAATAATAATGACTGGAAAGCCAATTTCAAAAGCTACTTTTGGATGAAAAAATTACTGAAATTGCTCAATTTGTGCAAAGAATACCACCATTTAAACGCAATGACCCTAAAACCTGTCTCGTCCAAAAAATCAATTTATTGTGTGTTTTTGACTGTTTGGAACAACAAAGAAAATGACACAGAATACTTGTTTCAACAACTGTCACCAACTGTAGCACGCAATATTTTGATTAACAACCCTGGTTAGACAAACAATATGATTTATAAAATCTACTTTTTTTAAAGACGGGCCTTCAAAAGGACTTTGTTGCATATTGTTAACGTTTAAACTAAGATTTCATCGCTGGTGATGTTTGAAGACAATTGTGACGACGATTGTTGAAATAGCATTTTTTTGGACGAGACAGGTTTTAGGGTCATTGTGTTTAAATGGTGATATTTTTTAAACGGATTGACCAATTTCAGCAATTTTTTTCATCCAAAAGTAGCTTATGAAATTGGCTTTCCAGTCATTATTATTTTTGGTGCTGCATATTTTTTTAAATGTGAAATATAATTTTTGGGGTTTAGGTTCCGCTTTTTTTGACTCACCCTGTATGCTCAGTGCACTGCCTGCCAAGTTAAAATGTATACAGAAGAGAACAAACTATTTAATGGACTTCTTTTGCTAACAAAGTCTTTAACAAAAATCTTTTTAATTATACAAAAACACTGACTACACCCTGTGCTCATTTTTTTTCAAAACGTTCAAATTGTGTTCTCTGCATCTATTAATATTGTACAAATTTTCTGTATGCAGGACGCTGTTCCTTCAATTTTGAATTGGTTTTGTATTGTTTCATTATTGGAAGCTCATACATTGTCATAACTTGACCAACGTGGATTCAAATTAGAAATTTAGTTTGAAAAAAGTTCAGGATACCCCACCCCCCAAAACATGGATTACATTGTGTAATTTACAACTTGATGTACAGTGTACATTTAGTAATATCATCTGAAGGGCCTATGTACATGTACATATGTATGTGTAACTCGCAGCAAACAAGAAGTCATATGTTAATTACATGTACATGTACTAGTATAAATGACACTTGGAAAGCCATCACAAAACCAGCAATTTATACATGAATTCCATGCATCTGATGCTTTGGCTCACTGGAGTAGACCATGACATTTCTGTGTCGTTCATCATCGTATGGGTTGCCAACATGTACAGTGTACCAGTATGTAGCTCATCCTTTGATGATAGTGTAATCATACATAAAGCCATGGCAGATTGCAGTCAATGCAGAGATTTGATTGGCCAGCTGAGCCCCATTCATCACACACGATAACGAGCCTGGCAGCCACGCAGCATCAGGCTGCAATCAGCCATGCAAAACCGGCAATTCATAAATCAAGAGTGTTTTTCGATCATGAATCTGTCGGGCAAGCTAAGGAAAACAGTAAAGGAACAAAGCAAAACAAAAGGAAATCCAATCATTTTTTTTTCAGAAAATAATTCTCAGAACCAATGTTTAATCTTCATTTCCATTCAAACTCAACGTGGTAGTGCATTCTTGTACATTGTACGTCTCGCATAAAAAGTACACTGTTGCACATGAACATGTAAATGTATCCTAAATAATAGAAACGATTTCAGGAAATGATTCAGGAAACAGTGTGTGAAATGGATGTGGTGCTCTTCCTGTTTTAATTTCTTGGAAATATGTTGACAAAATTCTTCTTGTTTTTGGCTTAGAATGGCTTCTGATTACTATGGTTTTTTTCTGGTTCAAATGAGACAAATCAGTACTTTTTTAGGGTACCGTGACCATTCAGCCCTGGTATGAAAAGGGCCCCCCGGTACCTAGTCCGGTCCAAAGCCAGTCCGGTCCAAAGCCCAGTCTCGTCTGGTACAGGGTCCTGTCTGACCAGAAGTTTTGAAGTCAGTCAGGCCATGGTCAGGCGCATCAATTTATTGCCCTTCAGAGAACATCCAGAGCAGAACAATAGCAGACTTACCGGATTAAAGATAAAATCCTTCCATAAGGCCTAGGTAATTTACTGTCCCATTGTGCGCGAAACCGCATGGCAGGGGTTTTGATCTGTACCGACGAAAGTGTTCTATTGTTTCGCGCTGAGAGATGAAAACCACAAGCGGGTTTCTTCTGGGATATATTACATGTGTCAATACTTGCAAACTATAGACCCCAGGATAAAGGAGTTCCTGATTAGCAACCGGACCAGCTCCTGGGCTGGTAGCTGGGACGGTACGAGAGGACTTCTTGGGAGGGGACGAGCTTACTGGGGGGCCCTTTTCATACCGGGGCTGAATGGTCACGGGCCCTTAAGGTGCAAACATGATCAGAGGTTCCTTTTTGCTGGCTTTAGTGTAAAGTGGTGTGTGAATGTGGTGAAGGGAGTAAATGAAAAGTTTGTTTGACAGTCGGCATGCTTACATTTTAGTTTTAGAATTTGATCCTGAAATTGTGTACGGCTGTCCCGAATATACAGGATATTCAATTACTCAATCATCAACCGAATATTCCAATAGCTATTTGCTGGTTGGAATATATTCAAAAGATAAAAAAAAACTACATGTATGCATGTACACACATTATTGTGATGTAATTTTGATCATAAAATTGCTGCGCTTTATTGTCAGATGCCACGTTTTGTTGACAGTAACTCTTGTTGACGGTAACTTTTGTTCATTGTTCTCATCCTTTTAGGAGGTTAAAGCCATTGACAGTTATAAAATACTTAAGGCAAAACACTCCTGCAGCCCATGACATCGATCGCCGCGCCCAAGTTTAACCGGCGCGCTTTGCGTGCAACTTTTAACAGGTGCGACATGCAGTTGCAGCTGGCATGTGTAAACTTGACCGCTGAGTTTTGAATATTTGAAAGATCAGTCAGATGCAGTTTTAAATAAACGACAGCCCTAGAATTTTGATAATTCATCATGTTTGTGCAAGTACATGTACTGTACGGTACTCGTAGCAAGTACGGTACGAGCAATATAGATTGGGTATACCGGTACATGTACATATTCAAATGGAAGAAAGGCATGTGTTGCTCTTAATGTGTTGGGAAACATTAATTAATCATTTGGGTTTTCTTAAAACGTTTTTTTTTTATAAATGTGACGTGTTGGACAATTGATTCTGTTATAGGTTTGAAATTTGTATTATGATTAAGGGGTGCGACTGAGTGGTGTGTCCATTGCACTTGTTACATTGAACATGTTCTGTACAATGTACGTCGGCTTTTTGTTAGTGAATTAATGTGACAGATGGGCCTGTTGCTAATTGCCACTCTTCTGTTCCACCATTGTCCACAAGACTTCGTTATCATGCATGTGTCATGGTGATGGTTAAGTACTCTGTTGGTTTAATCTGTGGAGTAAATGTATTCAGAAATGGGTTCTTGTTTTGCCTGTTTTTTTTTTAAAGATATAGTCCATCATTTGTAATTTGTGCATTTTGTTCGTTTGAAGCAACAAAGGGCTCAAGATCTAAAGAAGGGTGCTGAACAACTAACCTGATGAAGTTTCAGCTCAGCTTCAGCTGTATATTCCGAGAAAAACAGCATTCTAGGATCTCAATTTCAAATCAAAAGTTACTGAATCATGTTTTGAATTGTTTTGAATTGTAGCTATACGCGACGTCGCGCACTGATCCGACGAATTATAGCAAGCGCGTTTGCGTCGTGCTAATGCTTGTGCGCGCTTTGCCGAATAACAAAACAAACTACTAATTTAAATTTTCCTACAGACGCACCGTTGGAAAGGCCTTCTTTCGTTGATTACTTCAAAATGACAGCTTCCCAGAAAGAATAATTTCACAGGGAGTTTAGTCCACTTACTATCTTTCAACCAAGTATGTTTTTCAACAATAATACGCCAGTTACTTTTCGGATGGCTGCAAATGATGGACTATAGCTTGAAGTGAAAGCCCTTGAAAGTCCATCATGCACAGGTTACACTTCACTCATGGACCATTATCTGTGCTTTATTTATAGTGGTCTTGAAGACACTATAAATTAAAAAGATGTTACGATTCATAAAAAATGGAGTCAGTTAAAAATCAATTTTACTCCTGAAAAAGTCCTGATCATTTCATAAATTTGGGCCATTTTGGGGTCCACTTTTTCCTGTCCCTGTTACATCTGACATCTGTGATTTGACAATTCTGATGCACCCCTTACTGCAGTCATCTTCCAAGAGTTACAATGAAGAGAAAACGTCCTACCCAACGAATAAAAAAATCAAATGTTTGAATTCATTCTTAGTTAATGATACTTGGATGGAATATTACAAAGCACTGTCTGAGGTACATTGTACAGGCACAGGGAAAATGTCACTCTTTGGACCCTAAATTTGTAGAATGGCACACATCTATCTTTTGTGGAGGTTTTCGCAATTCTTATTCATACAACATGTACAATGGTTTAATAATTCTGAAATAAATAATATGTATTATTTGCAATATCAATGATGTTCTTTCTTTCTTTCTTTCTTTCTTTTTTAATCCAGGGAGACTATGACAATCCAAAAGTCAACGCCATTGTAATTTACAAAGGAACAGTCGATGGTGAGTTTTCTTGAGATCCAACAATTTCCCCTCAATTTTCTTTCAAACACAGGTCCAAGTTGGAGTCAACTACAGCAGTGCAAACTGCAACCTCAAGAAGACTCTGGGTTTTTGTCATAATGTACGCTTTTCGAAGAAAATCCAAGTGTTTCAAATGTCTTTCCTCAGAACGAAATATTCAACATTGGCTCCTTTGTGACCATCCATGGGCCTTATTCACGAGTTGGCCATTTTTGTCGAGTTCCCTGAATGTATTTCATTAATTGTTAACTGTTGAATGGGATGGCGCCAAACTATTTATGCAGACCCAATGCAGCCTTATTGACTGTCATTTTTTTTGTTAATCTTGCTTTAAACATTAGGAAATGTTTAATTACAAATTTTAAATTATTCATTGAAGCATACTGGAAGTAATTAGAAATTAACTTGCTTTCATTTCTCTACACAAGTTCCAAAAATCAAGATTTGACCTCACTCTCAATCCAATATGGCCGACTCGTGAATGAGGCCCTTTGGCAGAGCTGAAATTCTGCAAACAATTGTGTGAATTGCAGACATTTCATGCCAAGGAAGGAAATTCCAGAATAGTTAAAATATAAAGTTTGCGTGTAACACCATGTGGGAAGAAATCTCTTCTTGGAAGAAGTGTGGTTCTGAAAAGAACCGGTTGGTTGAGTTTCCAGAATAGTTCATTGTGGTACATGTACATGTACGTAGGGACGTAGCGAAACTGATTTGATTGGGGGGGGGGTGGGATGGGAGGGGTGGCAACAAATTTGCCAGCAAAGGTAGCCAGGAAGTTTTTCTGGTCAGCCATCTGACGTAAAATTTAAGAAAAGTGGTTGGGGGGGGGGGGGGGAGACACCATCTGACTATTGGAGGCATTGTTCAAAGCCTGGACACTTTCAGACAGTAGATGGCGCTCTAGGTCGAGGCATATATTCCAACAGCACAAACAATTTGCTGACAAAAAGAAAGAACTCCCAAACCCCTTCCTCACTGTCTAGTGATGTACCAACGGGATCTGCTCGACATTCCGAAGGTTCGATAGTCCAAAGATTCATCATTCTGAACATTCGATAGTCCGAATACACAAATTTCCCATTCCCGTGGTTCATTAGCCCGTAAATGAAATAAGGTTCTTTAATCCGAATCTTTGGTGCAATAGTCCGAAGGTTCATCTATTGAACCTTTGGACTACTTAACCTTCGGACCAACGAACTTTCAGACTATCAACCGGTAACCGCACCAACGTGGTTCCCTTTACAGATATACCCAAGTTACCACCTTTACCGGGCGCCGATCTAGACGAGGATGAGCCAGAGGACAGCGACGACGAAGAAACTGAAGAGCACAAACCGAAGCGGCACATCACGTCGGGGCCCAAGACCCCGGATCCGTACGCAGCCGACGAAAGTAGCTTCTTGTATCCAATTCTCATAGCCTTAGCAATTTTTATCCCCACGCTATTTTGCCTGTGTAGACTTTAACGCATTTCTTTCTTCTTTTTTTTTTTTTTTTTAGTAAGTAGGATTTTTTTTGGTGGTGTTTTTTATGGTGGGTTAAATATACATGTATGTGTTTGTCAGTTTTGAGAACATTTTTTGACCAGGATGTATATATTTATGCAAATGTCAAGAACAGGATTGTGTTTATAACTTTCTGAAATTCAGCTGGGGAATTTTTTTTTAATCTATGTATCGTACTACAGCGGGATTATGTGCATCAGTACCACCTTGTCATTTCATGGTGTGAAACTAAAAGCAGCTATGTCATTGGTTGTCTGCATATTTTGAATAAGAAGGAATGGAAAATAATGCGAGGCCTCGGAAGGTCACGGGGAATCAAGGGTAATTGTTTTTGAACAATGCAGAAGGTATAGACACCTCATAAGTCCGAAACAGCATTTGTCCATTGTAGGACTTACATGTATGAGGCGTCGGACTTATGATACGACCCCTATTAACCCTCCTATGCAAACATACATTCTGTGCCAAGTAGTCCTTCAGTCAAACTCAATCAATTGTTTTCAACAGTCAAGAATTCCCAGGCTACATACATGTACATGTACATGACACAATCAAGATTGACTAGGCGGTGACTGTTGATTTGTAAGTCAATACAGCTTTGATTTGACTGTGGCTGATTGATGAGACAGCTGTGCCCCCAGCTTGCCTGCTTTGTCTGTTCATGTTCTGTTGACTGAGTTTGACTAATCACAGTGCTTGCTTGACATATGATCCGACTGCTGGTGACTGGCATGTGTTAATATTGTAGCGAAGGAAGTGGATGGAAATGTTGACTGTCTGTGACTGTTTAAATAGCAGGAGGGTTTAGTTGTTTTATGGTGCTTTGAAGCTGCATTCCGCGTTCTATTTTTGAGTTTCATCCCCAAAATAGATTTCTTTCCTAAATTGCTACTTTTCTAGCAGTACAAAGACAAAAAAAACGGAAAAGAAATCGGTCCACTCTTAGTTATTGGATCATTACTTTACAAATTATGAATTACTGGCGGTCTGACAATAATTCTGTTCTCGTGGGATAGGCTGGTTCCAGCCTCACAATCAGTATCCGATAATGTACAGCCGGGAGCCAGTCTGCTCGCAAAGCGGATCTGCTAGTGCCCAAAATTAAAAAAAAAAACCAACTTCTGATGGAGGTTGCAGATGCCACAAAAACTAGCATAAAAAGGAGGGTTTTTGATTGAAGTAAAACAAGTTGAAAATTTATTAAGAGAAAAATATTGAATTTCTGTAGAGCTTGGGGAGAGCAGCTTCTTCGTAGTGCAGCTTTGTTGCTGAGGGAATTGAAACTGAAAGTTTTATTCTTCAAGCTTGTTACAAAGTGAATGTTCTACTACATGAAGACTGCACAGATAGTGATAATGAACTGGTGACATTATATGAATATTTTGATGTTTCTTCCAATGCGTATTTATCCTGCAACTTTGTTCAGTTTCGTTTTTGCAAAATGCTTTCAATATTCATGTGATATTTCCTCTTTAAGCGATTTTCATTGTTCAAGATGTGTACATTTTGATTGCAAAACAGGATGCATTTTCCAAAAAAAATTTAAAAAAATGTAATTTACTCTTAAACATTTGTAGAAATAAATATAAGCTGCAGATACAAGTTTTTGGTTGTAAAACAACTCCATGTACTTTTTGAACGATGTGGAACAGGGTAAAACAGTATAGTCCAGGGATTTTGTTTGAAGACATGGTTGGTCCGATCTGCATACATTGACTTTTAAATTGCGGGGGGACCTTTTGAGCATAGGGTTATCTCTGCTGCGATAGGAATTCGTCAGAGGCACCAACTGACATTGCAACACATGCGTTGACCTTTGGTACGTGTTCCAATTAGTCGTGTAGTGATACCCGACTTAATTGTGTTAATTGGAAGGAGTATCATTGATAGGTCAACTATTTTGAAGGGTTCACGTTGATATTTTACAACAAAGGAAATCAGGGGCGAACGTACGCATACAAAGCTGCTTGGAATTGCTTCAGATTTGTTTGTATACGATTTATGCAAAATTGTGTAAAGTGAAGAGTTCATATGTCTTTTTTGGTGTGCAGCTTCACCTAATGACTTGTCATATTGAATTGATAATTTTTGTTCAGCATTAGTTAAGTTAAATGTTTAGGTATAGACCATTATCATGTTGCAGGCATTTGATTTTTCCCATTCATATCAATGTAACCAAAGTGAGGCTGGAAGGAAAAATAGTCTGGTTCCTTTTTGCACAAAAACATTATCATTCAGTACTGTTATTGGATACAGGGAACATGACTAAAATGGTCGACGCATGATAATGGTCTATTGCCTTCACACAAAAATTTCCCCACTCAGGAAAGACACAAGATAGAATGAAGGTTTGAATTTGGAATTAGACTTGTCCTGTCTAGTATTTCCCATAAAGCAAAAAAGACACTTTCTGAAAAGACAAGTTAGATTTGGAGTGGAGTCACAACTTTTTTGGGGGATAAAGGTTATTTTTCTTCTAATTCTATATAAACTGGTCAAAGGAATTTTTCAGCAGAGCGATGACAAACCAATTTTCAGAGAAAGAATCTTTCAGAGAAAGAATCTTTCTCGACAAACATTTAAAGAGATATTTGTACAATGCTGCATAACAGTGTTTTCGACCTGCAACCAATACCAGGGCTCTTTCAGGAATCCATGATGTATATAAACAAATCTGTCATTTGTAAAAGGTCAGTAACGAATAGCTTGCTGACACCAACACATTATGGGTTTGCTGTCTGGTTTCATAGCTGTAATCAATTTTGTACAGAAGTACAAACCTGTATGTATAAGGTAATTGTTACATCGCCCTCTAGTGATATTCTCAAGGCCATTTTCTTTTCCTGGGTTGCATTGTATCGGTTTGCTATAAGTAGAACGCTTTTCTTCTTTTATAAATAAAATTTCCAACACTGAGCAACCTTGTACCATTTTCATGGGGTAAATTGTGTTTTGAATTTGCTAAATCAATTTATCACTCCAAGTGGTGGATCAAGTATGGATTTGCTGTTGAAATAAAATAATTTCATGATTGGGTTTGTTGTTCAATACTTAAATAGAGGAAAGTGAGTCTGTATGAAATACTTCAATCCTAAGATGTATATATATTTTTGAATAAGCCCAAGGTGATATATTATTGGCTCCAGAGGAACTTGAGAACACTGTTTTTAATCTTTGTCAGTTAAAGAAGAAAGGTTTTGGAAACCTTTTAATACACGAATGTTGATGCCTAACTTTCAATAGACCTTGTGCGATAGGGCGGAGTTAGAGGGCATTGGTTTTGTGTCGCAGTGATGGGCTTGGGTTAACCTTGTGTGCATTCAGTGCTAAGTAAGTTGAAGAACAAAGAATGCCCTCTGAGACACCTGTGATGCATAAGGTCTATGTTGTTTGCCCTCTTCAAATGTATGTTTCTTTAGCAATGTAGATATTTTCTTTAGGTTTTGGATAGTCGGCCTGTCTTAAGGTCTTTTTTGGGGTTTTTTTTGGGAAGGATGTTCAGTGATCGATGTGCATGTAATGGTATGTGTTGTTTCATGGTGAGGGAATAATTATGCTGTTCAAGGCATATGGGATCATTTGCTTTGCATGCATTTTGATTGTTTCCAATAGTAACACCACTTAAAAACCAAAGAAGAATGTTCAAAACCTTAAACCTGTGGAAGTTTGAGCTCGGTGGATGTTACGATTTCCGATGCAACAGTGAAAACCATGCACAACCTTTTGATCACAAAACACCATTTTGTCACTTTAGCACTGTTTACTTCCAAAAATCTGTCAACTGACTGATCGTTGAAAATCACAACTTAATTTCTTGTGAATGACAGCAAGCCAGACGGAATCATTTCAAGGAGTTTATAGTATACCAGTACGATCTTTAATCCAAGTAAGCTTTTTGATAATAATTCGGTAGATTACCTTTGAAATGAATGCAAATGATCCTATATGCCTCTAAAAAAATCGCGAAGTTCACGTATTTGGGGAAAAGGATGCTTTGGAAAGAACATGCTGACGCATTTAAGTGTGTACAAAGCATTCAGTTGGATTAGTGTGCTGGTGCCATTATGTAGCTAAAAGATGGAAATGCATACTTATTTTGGAACTAGACGTGAACACATTAAATTCAAAAGTACTAAAAATCTGTGGAGGATTGAATAGATTTTAAAATCAATTTTGAGCTCACCCTACTTTTTGTTCCTGATTTCACAGTGTTACATTATTCTTTCATTGTTCTTACGTAACTACTGCAGTACTCGTCTTAAAACTGATTCCTATTTGATTGTATATATTTTGAAGAAGGAAAAATGAGTCAATGTTGATATTTGCATTCGTCCCCACGAAAAGGAAACTTTATTGAATTTTATTGCTGGTAGAGTATCGTGTATTATTAGTTGTTCTGACTCTGTGTAATGAACTGATATGCAAAAAAAGGAGATTAAAAAACCAAAGGCGGTACCAATTTATTTGGAAATAAATGTGGATGGGCCTCTGTCATCATTTTCTGCATTATTTATGTTTTTGTAGATTAAAAGTTAAAGCCATCATTGCCAAGTCATAATTAAACCTTAAGTCTCCCCCCCCCCCATAAAAAAAATAGGAAAAATGGGGAAAAAAACACCGAAAGCCATCAATTTCTACCTTTTACCCTTTTACAGGGTGAGTAAAAAAAAACGAAACCCAACTAAACACGAAACCCCAAACGCGGAAACCCAAAGCAGGCATGCAACTTTCCTCGGATCAGCTGATTTCCTCTTTTTTTTTACTTCCCATGTGTGCCATTGAAAATAGGAAAACACTGTACAAAGACTGGGAAAAATTTGAATTTCCTCTTTTTTGTGTGATTTCCCAGTTGCATGCCTGCCAAAGGTTGGGACCATTGTTTGAGGGAAGTTCTGCATGTAGCATTTTCAAAATTTAGGATATGAAAGCCCAATTCATAAGCTTCCTTTAATAGTACAAGAATCATTCGAATTACTCATGTACATGTACTTTTCAAGTTACGGAATACACAACCACCGTTTTAAGGTTCTGTTCACGGATCACACAAAAAGTTCAGTGTTCTTTCAGCAAAACGAAAACAAATCACAGGGTCCACTCATAAGTCCGACGCCTCATAATATAATAAGTCCGACAAAATCGCATCCCCTAACCAAATAAAGGCCCATAAGTCCGACGCCTCATAGGTCCGACGCCTCGTAAGTCCGACAAATTGAACGCCTCGTTTTTCCGTTTTCGGCTTTATATAGGCCTACATCATTCTGGAACTGTCTTTCACCGTCTTAAGTTGAACTAATTGCCCTCCAAGTAATACATTCAAATACAAACTAAGAACATTCCTACTTAATTCTCGTTTACCTGATTCATTATTATTTAACCATTGCTATTATTTCAAATTCTATAATTAGTGTTGTTTGTATTGTTTTGCCTTGTATTGCTGGGCACATCGACCATAAGCTTCGGCTCTTTAAGATGCTGCCTCCACAGAGTGGTTTATTGAATTGAATTCACTGAGCTGAACTAATTAGGCCTACATTGTAATTGTCAGCACCCTCCTTTAAGATTTTGAGCACTTTGCTTCAAACGAACAAAATGCACAAATTAAAAATGATTAATAGTCCCTTCTACCGTCGAAAAAATATGTTTTGTAACAGGGATTTGCAACCAAGATTGGAAAAAAAGTTTTTCTATCGTTTTCAAATAACCTTTTTGTCATCAACTGTAAACTCCTGGAAAACACGAAAAACAGTCATTGATTAAGCGCGACTCAACCTCGACTCCAGGGTTTCGAGCAGTACGCGCCCACCACTACCTGCTCTCTCTCACAATTGGTTGGAAACATAGAGCTATATTTAGCTGTATGGTTGGAAATAAAGTAAGCACTGGGGACGAGGTTGAGCGCGACTTGCTTTTCTTCGATACACACGCCCTCAACGGAACAGCAATGAAAGTAAATGCATGAAATAGAACAACTCGGCATGCGGCAGACACACTACACAGTAAGTTTATCAGAATAATTTTTCTTCTTCAAAATTACCGCTTTTTGGGAACAATTTAGGGATCTTATGGAATGTCATGAATGTGTAGATCTATCCAGGGTGACTGTCTTTCTCATCTGTATTCTCTTTACCAGTTTTTTTGGGGGGGCATTTTGTCCTCGAGATCGAGGGTATGCAAAAAAATGCATAGGCCCTACCGACTTACCGTGTGTAATACCCGCCCGGTACCGGTTATACCGTGAACGTCATGAACGTGGCTATCACCCGTACCCCTGGCGCGCGCTGCGTAGCCACGCTTCAATCCACCGCAGTACAGTAAAAATAAAGTTCTACTTTCTAGAATTAGAAGGCCCCATGAGCATGAGCGCTGAGCATGAGCTCATGGAGCCTTCTAGTTCTAGTTCTAATTCTAGCAGTAAGTAAAAATACTCTTGTGTTGTGTGAACATGGTGAATGAGCAGATGAGGGACCGTTCTAGCTGAATTTCGGCTAGACCCGTGAACGTGGCTATTAATATTAATACAGAGTCACGCTTCAGTCTGTAGTAAAAACACTCTATTGTGATCCGCGATTACTAAGATATAGTGACCGTTCTAGCCTAGCTCTACTGAGTGGAGCATTGAACTACGCTACGTCTATGGTACCCTCCGTACAAACGTTGGTACGGAGGGTACCGTAGTTCAACGCTCCACTCAGTAGAGCTAGTTCTAGCCTAGTCCGAAAATTTTGGACTCTCAATACTGTGTATGAGAGTCCCAAAACTTAAGGTATCCATATCATGCAAAACTTTGTGCTGCATGATAAAACCAGTGTGAATCAAATTTGCAAGCTTCTTACTCACTACAGTTTCTTCAATAATCCCCGAAACTTCTGCCTAGCAAAGTTGGTGTTGTGAGCATTGCATCACCAAAATTTCAGCTTTTAATTCTAATTTTGCAGAGAGTTATCGAAATCCAAACGTGAGACATCACGTTGATGTGTACTGCAATGCATTGTGCAAAAAGACTCCTCAGCTATAACATTTTCATCGTGTAGATAAAACAGCGCCCTCTTGTTGATCTGAGTGAATAAAAAATGTTGCATATTTTAGCAGAGGGCGCTATGTTCATTTGGCCATTGATTAAAAAACAAGGAAGCTGCAAGGCTCTTCCTACACCTACCCAGAATACATTGGGAATCACACACCCATTTCCAGAGCATTGAGAATGACGTGGGTGGTTTTTGAACTGGCAAAACCTTGCCTTAAAATTGGATTTAAGGTCTCAAATTTTGCAGGTGACATGCTTGCAACTATAGCATTTTGATGTATGTGTTGTGTGGGCATTAATTAGCCAAATGGTGAGTAAAAAAACGTCAGTAGTAATTTTGCACGTTTTTATGCACTCACGGTCCCAGTCTGGTTCTAGCCGAATTTCGGCTACATTTGACAGAATATTTGCATACAAAAATGAGTTGTACAGAAAATCAGCAGAATATTTTTTTTCGGCAGAATTATGAAGATAAAGGAAAATGAAAAAGATTAGAGAAATATGGCACATGTGGTTTAAAAATCTCATTTTTTGAAAGATCCCTAAAAACAAACCCTTGCACAATGGAACAGCAATATACTAGGTGATTTGGCAGACTTTCGAAGTGGATTTAGCAGAATTTTATATGGTATTACGATCATCCTGCCATGTAAGACAGTTAGTCGGGTACCCACTGGTGATACTCCTACCGTTTTGTGCATGCGGAACTCGGGGTACCAGAGTGTCATGCCTGTCTTTGATTTTCTGATCATTTTGAAAACATTCGTTGTGACAAAGTTGTGCCATACTTTACATCAAATTTCTTGGCAATGACAGATCCAACACTCGCGTAAATTCACAGGAAGCCTAAAAAGTAAGTGATTCACCTATGGGCAAAATTATACATGGTTATATGTAGCGGATCAAAAGATAGAATGCTTTTGCTTGTGTAAGCTCGTGGCGTTGTACACAACGCCACGTTCATGGGTCTAAATTTCGACTAAGTTTGACAGAATATTTGCAAACAGAAATGAGTAACTACATGTATGTGATACCTGACTTTCTCCTAGCTGGAGTTACATGTACATAAGCCCTAAATTTTATCATTGGGCTGTAAATGACAACCCAATGATAAAATTTAGGGCTGACAGTGTTCTCCAACTTTGAAAATTAAAGGTCGGTGCGCTGTCAAAAAGTGGAGGGGGGGGCGCTAGTATAATTATTTTAGGGGCGCTATTTGCAGTCATACACTACTTTATGCTAGGGGGCGCTATTTGCAGATGAACAAGTAATTTATGTATTGATAACAGCTTTTAGGCCATTTCTAACACATTAACACTAACAATTAAGTACAATACCATGAATACTGGCTCAGCATCATCTTTTTTAACACATCAGTGACCAGGGACTCTGAGGCAGTTTGGCCTTGAGACTTTTGACCTGATTGATTGCTACAATGGGCAGGCTTGTCAGTTTGACAAGTGTAGCATGTTACTGCTTTTGGCAGAGTTATCTGATGTCTAGTGATGTCTCTTCAGATGTCTGGTTAACCAAAAATCATGTTAATTCGACGACGAATTCCGACGGTTTTGAAACAAGCATGGCATCTCTGATATTTACCAGACTGTTTCCCCGGCCCCACTTAAGTAGACACTTGAGGCCAGTTGGGTCAGGGAACCAGACTGGAGCTTTAATCATCCACTGAGCGTGTGTCAACTTAGGCAAAGTGCACCGCGGCTGTTGCCTGTTATTCAAAAATCAGCATTTTAACCCCCTAAATCTAATGCCCTTAATACATGTAATATAACGCCCTAAATATAGGCCTTGTATATTGTCAATATATTGTGCTTCGATTTGTTTCCAAATTTTGTTTAGCTATCATGGCTTTTTATTTCAGAAAGGGTTATAAATAGGCGCTTTCATGCCTTTGGACACAATTTTGTATCAGCAAAAGAGTCATCAAAAAAATGGAAAATCTGCCATCTTGGGGCGAAAAAGCCTCCAATGTTAAAAAAAAACCAGGATGAGAATTGTTGAAAAACAATTAATTTGTTTGTACTTGACCGAATTGCCGCTTGCAAACCGGACCAAATTTATGCCACCATCTGTACACGGTACACCATAATATGACCATGACACATGGAGATACTTATTGTGATAGTCGGTAAACTCGGTATTGTATTCTATACATAGTTGACAGAGACTGCAAAGCAGTTAAATTCCTTGTTTTTGCATAGGACTGCTACATGGACGCAGAGCACTGTAAATTGTTTTCAGACTGATCCGTCGTCATGAAGAAAGTTAAGGATAAGAGTGTTAAGGTGAGTTTTGGGTCAAAATTTGCAATCTTAAGTAATAGGTTTTTTTCTTTACAAAAGTCTCTTGATTTTTGGATGTGCCAAATATACCGAATATTCAAATATTTAATCAACTGAATATCCCAATATTAGCGTACATATTTTCATCTCAAACAAACACTGCCAAAAAGAAAGAAAGAAAGTCCACACTCATTGGAGGGGTCATGATTTTGAATCTGATCGTATTATGATAACGTTATTTGTAGACCTTTGATGATGTTGCTACATTTTGATATCCTTTTTGCTACCAAAAACTGTAAATCGTTCAACATTGACAGCGGTTTATGAAATGTGATGAAGGTTTAAGTTTGAAGAAGTACACAATGGTTGTGTGGTTGTTTTGTTTTTGATGTAGTGAAAAAAATGTTATTACTAATATTAGGGCTTGGAGTTGTTTGAACTTTTCTTTGTATGTCATTTCCATTTTCTAGAACATGTGTGTCAGTCCTGCACTGCCTTTCAGGAATGGAACGAAGTACAGGGCCTATTCACCAACGGCCGCCACTCAAGCACGCCATGCTGTCAAAAAAGGCGGGGAGACAATCCGTGGAGCAGCCAGGAAGCATGGCCTGCCCGAGGCCACCTTGCGAAAACAAGTCAACGCTAAAGTCCGAACTAAGGTAACGAAATCCAGAGTGAAACCAATGATAAGTACTGTGGTGAAACTCGGGTGGGGACACCCCCCCTCCCCCCCCTCCCCCCTCTGTAAAACGAGGCTTCCATAACTAAAGTGCTGCTTGCAAATGGACCCATATTATTCTACCATCTATTCACCAATCACCATGTGATACATGGAGGTCTTATCATGATTATTAGGGTAGGGATTTATTGGCCATGTCCAAATTTCTGAGGCTGAACTCTCAAAAGTAAGAGCGACAGAGTCTCTTTGACATCAAAGATGTCGAGGATCCGTACGCCTGTGCAATGTACGTGGGTAGTATACCCATTGTCTATTTATTAACCCTTACCCTACTAGACCCTCCAACGCATGCCAATATGTGCCTCAAGAAAATCTCCTATGTTTTTTGCATGGCCCTCCAATATCTGCCATGTCATTTCAAGGGTAACTGGACAGGCACTCCAATACATGCCACAGAGAACAATGAGAGTCCTCTGATAACAAAGTGAGTGCCCCCAGCTGGTCAGTATCAGGCACCCTCCAGGGCCTCCAACTCCTGCCAATTGGAGCCTTCACTGTTAAGAAAAACTATCTGCCAATAAACTGCAGCTGGAGGGCATTGGCATAACCAACTGACATGCAGTAAACTACCCTCAGAGAGTAAGGGTTAATGGCATGAAGTGGCTGGTACTTAGTGATTGATTGCTAAATGTAATGGTAAATCGTTCACCGTTGATCCCGACTGTGGTATCTTTTCCATTTTCTAGAACATGCGTGTCGGTCCTGCACCGCCATTCAAGAATGGAACGAAGTACAGGGCCTATCCACCGACGGCCGCTACGCAAGCCTACCGTGCCGTCAAGGAAGGAGGGGAGACGATCCGCGGAGCGGCCAGGAAGTATGGCCTGCCCGAGGCCACCTTGCGAGTACGAGTGAACGGTAAAGTCCGACCCGAGGTAACGAAATCCGGAAGGAAACCAATGTTAAGCACTGCGCAGGAGACTCGGCTCGTAGAACACTTGAAAACAATGGCGGACTGCGGGTATGAGATTGGCACCAGGGACGTGAAGAGCAGTGCCATTGTCCTTGCTGCAAGCCTTGGTAAGCGTGACCGAAATCACGCGCTGTCTTGGCAGTGGATCAAGGGATTCATGCGGCGATGGCCGGATTTAGAACTGGGCAAGCCGTTCTGTGCAAAATCGCAACTAGCCAGTGCCACCTCCGAGAAGAACGTGTTGTCCTACTTTGCTAGTCTAGAGAGTCTGCTCAGCAAGAACAATTTGACAAATGCGCCGGAGCGCATCTACAGCGTAGATGAAAAGAGTGCGAAAATATCGGCATCGGCAGAAACAGAATCGCAGACCGTCACCATCATTGGATGCGGGAATGCCCTCGGGCAGCAAATTCCGCCGTATTTTGTTTTTCCGGGAAGGAGAATGAGGCAAGAGCTCTTGAGAGGCGGATTGCCGGGAACAAGCGGATCAGTCAGTGAGTCTGGCTGGTCAGACCTGGAGATCTACAAAGACTACCTGGCCAACCATTTCCTGAGGTACGCAACGGAGCACACTGACGACCAACCAGTCCTTCTCTTGTTTGACGGCCGCAGAGCACACATCTCCAGCGTCCCCCTGAGCGACTGGGCCAAGCGGCATAATATCTTGATGTTCCTTCGTCCGGCCTACACCAGTTATGTACTGCAGACCGACGATCTTCATGATCTTGGGCCGTTTGGCCCATTTGAGAAGATGTACAATCAGAACTGCCGCAAGCGCATGGCAACCTCCTCCTCTTCAGTACTCGAAAAGAACCGTGTCTGCGAGGTGGCCAGCAAGGTTTACGCAAAGGCACTTTCACCAAGTCGACTCCAGGGCTCTTTCAAAAAATTGGGGATCTATACCTCTGAATGATTCATCTGTCCAGGACCCTCCAAAGAAGAAGGCAAGGAGGTCCTCATCACGTCGGGCAATGACAAGAAAGAAAGCTGCGACAAAGAAGACACGAGAGCTGAGAGCACGGACACTGGTGTCAGAAGCGGGATCATCAGGAGAAAGTGCAGGAGTTCCCGATTTTGTCACACAAGACCTTTGACAATTTGTCATCATCCTCTCCATCATCGTTCTCCTCGTCGTCGTCCTCTTTCTCATCATCCTCTGCCTCGCCATCCTCTTCTTCATGTTCGTCCTCACCTGAAGATTGAGAATTGATGTAATCATCATCCTATGCAAGTTTCTCAAACTCTGACACATACATGTATATTGCATGTGCAGGGTGTACATGTACATGTGTTGTACAATGTATTAACATTGTTGTGTTTGAGTCAATAATAAGCCCTCACAAGTCTTAACAAATCCATTACAAGTCGATCACAAGTTCTCCCGTCCTCGGTCAAGTCAAAAGCTATTGAAATGAACTGTGACAAACCATTCGGTATTGTTCATCCACTGTTATTTGTGACAGGAATTGTGAATGGATTTGTGCGATTTACTTGTGACTTAACCTGTGATGGACCAACCCACAACAATCAAATTTAAACGGTGCTCTTTTTAGTGCATGCATGCAAGTGCGTGCATATGTTTGTTTATATTCTATAAATGTTCCCTTTTCAGAGAACTAATTTGAAAACTAGCTCTTTTTCATAGCAGACTCAAGTTCCTAGCAGATCATTGGGGATTTACTGGTAGCATTGTACAGTGTAAATGTACATGTATAATATTGTTTTGGCAGTTGTGTAGTTACCATGGTTATGGGCCATGTTCCTATACATGTATGTGTGTAAGAGACAAAAAAATTGGACTTGCCAAACTACCCGTAGTTAGCGACATTTAAATACCAACAGGTACCGGTATGCCATAAGTGCAGGGTTTTGATTTTTTTTATGGGGGAAATTTTGGGGTAAAACGACGATGAAGACGACAAAACGCAACACGAAAATTTAGATGGCGGTTACCACAACACACTGTAGGCCTACAGCCCCGAAAAAAAATTGCATTTTCTACCGCAAGAAATTTTTTCAAAATTACAAAAAAACGATGCCATTAGAATGAAAAGAAGTCTGCTTTATGTTGAAAAAGTTTTTAGAATAATAAAGAAAACACCCTTGATTCTGATTTGACCAAAACTAAAGAGGAGCCTGTACATGTAACTACACAATCGTCATTGTTTTGTTAGGCGTTGCAAAGAGCTGGCTCATTCCACATTTCAAACACATTGTAGTTGCCTGTGAACAGTGTTTCAGACTTTCAAACAGAGAGCACACATATTCGATGTCGTATTTTTTAAAACTGCTTCTCAGTTCTAAGCACCACACAAAGCTCAAAAAAGAAATCTGTACTCATGCAAGACTCCTATTCTCCAGCATAGAATGTTCAAGTCTTTTTGGCTACATACATAGTGAAATCTTCCCTTTTTTTTTCTGAACTTGATCCACACCATATTGCATGTAAACATTGCACAGCTGTTATACATACAATGTACATGTACGTGTGCATGCTTCAAGACAGTGACGTAGGGCTGTCCACTTATGAATAATTTAGTATTTGATTACTCAAAACTGTGTGTGACCGAATATTCGGATATTCAAAACTGCCCGCTGCAAGTGCGTGCTGTGCCTTTAAAATTGCATGCAGATACCGCGCCTTCACAGGTGTGTAAATCATTTGCAAAGAAAATGTGGAATAACTAAATATGAAAAACTAGGAACAGTTTTTGAAAAAAGCCAGTTTTTTCCAACGCTGGTCGGCGGACCAGCATTGGAAAAATACAATCTTTCTTGAAAAGGTCAGCACGCCAGGAGCCACGATTTTACTGGACGCGTTAGACTGTCATTCCTAACAATCCAGTAAGGTATTTCGTGATAATTTGATCATTTCATTTTTTGATGTTTGCAAATGTTGTATCTTCCCTTTAACATGCTAAAAGGACAGAAACAGCGAACCACCGTCGACAACAAAGTTACCGTGGCGCCTGACAATAAAACGCCGCAACGTTATGATAAAGTAACATAACATTTTTTCTTGTATTTGAATAATTCGAAGCGGCAAAAAGCAATTCAAATATTCGGTTGATGATGGAATATTTGAATATTCAGTATATTTGTGAAAGCCCTACACTGACGGGACATCTTGTATTTCTGTTTTATTTGCAAATGTAGGGAGTGCAGTGTATGTAAAAGTGCAAATTACTGTCAACGCTTCATAAAAAGCAACATACATTATATCCCCATTAAAAAACCAAGTGGATTATATTTGTCTTTTCGAGATTATATATGTTAATACCAAACCTTTTGAATGTTAATGCGAAAACAAGTTGTTCAGATGTTTCAGAAATTTGCTTTTGTACTTTCAGGGCTTTTATACATGTATTTGTTTCAAGAAAAGAGTTTCTGTGCATGTGCGTGATCGAGGTTAAACATATGAACTTGAAATTTATGTTGTTTAGTTTAAATACAAGCCAAGTCATACCGAGGTTAATGAAAACAATCGTTTCTTCATGTGAACTCTTCATGAATATTCTTTTTATCAAATGTTTAAGTTGAGCATTTGGCTCAAGATGTTACATCTTTTTATACCTTTTAAGGGAATGTACAACATTTGCTTTTGCTGCAATTTTTCAGAAATAAATGGATTTGGAGGACTAGTATGTTATAGCAAATATTGTTACACTGACTTGTTTCACGTTTTGGGTTCGGAGATGCTGGAAAAACCACGAAAATTAATCATATTCTTGTAGTCTGGTTCCCTGACCCCACTTAAGATGAAACGGAGCAATTATAGACTTTGGGGATAGAAGATCAGAGGATCAGTCTAGCAGGCTTGTAGTCTTCACAGATGTGTAATCAATTGCAAAGAAAATGCAGACGAACTTAATATGAACAATTAGGAGCAGTTTTTGAAAAAAAAGCCAGTTTTCTCCAACGCTGGTCGGCCGACCAGCATTGGAAAAATACAGTTTTTCTTGAAAATGTCAGGACACCAGGAGCCACAACTTTACAGGATGCTTAGACTACGTGTCATTCCTTTACAATCCACTAAGATATTTTGGGATAATTTGATCAATTCATTTTTTGATGTTTGCAAATGTTGTATCTTCCCTTTAAAGCTACAGTCCATCATTTGTAATTTGTGCATTTTGTTCGTTTGAAGCAACAAAAGAGTTCAAAATCTAATGAAGGATACTGAGCAACTAACCTGATGAAGTTTCAGCTCAGCTTCAGCTGTACATTCCAAGAAAAACAGCATTCTAAGATCTCAATTTCAAATCAAAAGTTACTGAATCATGTTTTGAATTGTTTTGAATTGCAGCTATACGCGACGTAGCGCACTGATCCGACGAATTATAACAACCGCGCGCGTGTGTGCGTCGTTCCAATACTTGTGCGCGCTGCGCTGAATAACAAAACGAACTACTAATTTAAATTTTCCTATGGTGCTTCTTAAGAATCACCGTTGGAACTGCCTTCTTTCGTTAATTACTTCAAAATGACAGCTTCCCAGAGAGAATAATTTCACAGGGAGTTTAGTTTCCTTACTATCTTTCAACCAAGTTAGTTTTGCAACAATAATTACGCCAGTTACTTTTTGGATGGCTGCAAATGATGGACTCTAGCTTTAAGGTAAAGTGAATAAAACAATATCCCATTCCTGATCTTTTACCTTGTATTTTGGTAGTACTCAAATACTAACATGTGTCCTTCCGGTATTACATTGAAAAAAAGGTAAGGTTGTTTGGTACTGGTACGTGGATAAAAAATATGTTTTTGGATATAACTTTTTATAGCCAGAAAACAATATGGTGGATGATTATTTGGTGATCCATTAATTTTGTTTAGTGTGCATTCGTCGTAAAAGTCAGCATGTGAATCAACTTCTTGGCACGGCAAAACCGCACAGGACAAACTTACACAAATTGAAACAAAATAAAAAAGTCCAATTTTTTTTTCAATTTTTGGGAATAAAAAGATTTAGGTTTTATGTGATTTCTTGCGTTTGGTCTGGTTCCCAGACCAATTGATGCTGACTATTGTTTTTCAATTGATGACTTGGCGAATACGTTTTCAATTTTGTACACAACATATGGTAGAATTTTGAATCGCTAGTGAATTCTATGCGAACACTGATTGGTTCAGATTCCAGAGCGTATTCTAGGCCACCACGGAAGATCATTCTAATTACTTCGAGGGTTTGTACTCTGTGTTGTGTAACATCACAAAAATCATTATAGGGCGTACTTATACAAATAAATTGATCAAGTATATCACAATGATACACATTGTAGCTGAGTGTATTGGTCATTAAAACGTCATCAGATCTGCAAACTTGTCCCCGACGTATTGAGAAGATCTCCCCATGTATCCGGAATGAATGAGTCCTCATTTGCGCGATTGGATCTCACCGCAAAAATGCACTGCATATGTATTGTACTGCACGCATATATGAATGACGGTGTGCGAACGTAATCATCAAGTCGTTGTTGCAACCCGGCCGATTACGAACTAGTCTTATCCCAGCCGCGCCGATGGAGTTCGACTGAAGTTCACGGACAAAATACAACTATCTAACGACTGTCATAAAGTCTACAATGTGTCCTCTTTGCAATGATACTTTGATTATGCATTCATTGTTATTCTATCAAGGGTCAGGTGTACTGCGCCAAGTTTGAGCAAAAGGGTAGGCCCCTAAACTGGTATTGTGGGCATCAGGAACGGCTTAAAGAAAGAAGACATCTTTTTCTCTGAAACAATTTATTCAAATTTGACACGGTGATTTAACCACTCTCATTGTTGAAGTTAAACCCCTCATGGCCTAATGCCTTCAAGTGGCCACCACCTCTGCACAACATTGCATATATTGCAGAACGCGCGTCAGCTTACCATGGCATAACAAACCAGCCAGACATCTTTGCCAGGTGAGACTTGGCCCAGTACAAGTTTTGATCCTTGACAGAATAACAATGAATGCTCAGTCATCCGTGGCCACAGACACACAATCAAGGTATTGTTGGAACTTGGACACATTGGTGTTTCACATAATCTTTAAATTTATTTGAAAATATTTATCAGCTTTTTTTTATAATTTACATTTACAGCTGAGTTTCCTGTTTTTTTGTTTTTTGTTTTTTTTTGTTTTTTAGGTAGGCCTACACCTAGTCCCAGTAACTTGGACCCAAGTTATTGCCTTTTAAAAAGGCGATAAGTTGGGTCCAAGTTACTCGGACTAGGCCTACACCCTGTATTTAAAAAAAAATTGAACTCAAAACTCCACAAACTGCTTGTTCACGAATACTTTATGAGTCCAGTCTATTATAATTTTTATTTTTAATTTGGAAATGCAAATAAAACCGCATGCTGTTCGGAAAGCAATGGCAATATTTCAACAGATTTATTCAAGCATGACGTCTGGGTCTTAATAAAAGGATAATGGGAAATGTGGTGAACCATACGCAACTCATCTACATGGTAGGCTAGTACAGTACAGGAATATTACGACCTTGGTGATTTTGTTTTACGATATTTTATGCTGATTGATTGGGTTTCTTTGTAAAATTGTTTTGCAGACAAACAGGCCTCTGTGTACATTGTATAGATGTGCCAGTTTACAAACAGCTAGTGTTGACTTCTGGGCTGGTGGTGTGGATGTGCTGAACAAACTAGTGAGCCATGGCAGAGAGTGATATTGGTCTCCCCACCGGACTGCCGTAAGTACTTGTAGTTTGCACATAGCACCATACTGCATGCAACAAAGAGCATCAGGGCCCAATTGTATTTCCTGGTTCTGCGTATCACAGAATTCCGTGCTTATAAGACTATCAATAGTCTGTGCCAACAATAAAAAAAATGAACTTGTGGTTAACTCAATAAGCACGGAAAATCTGGTTAACTCAATAAGCACGGAATCCGTAGTGACTATAAGCATGCCCATAAGCTGAAATTCCTTGCCAACCTTTGGAATAAGCCAAAAGTGCATGTACATTGTAAGCACAGGGGTCATTCCACCGGGTTGGGAAGCAGTGCATGTTACATCCATATATTTGGTTATACTATTAAAAGTATCAATGCATTCTAAACAATTGCTCAACATAATATTTGTCTTAAGGAGTTTCAATACTTGAGGAAGTTTGAAATCATTTGAAAGTACTGTGACAAAAATATGAGCAAAAATGTATTAATTCGGACGTAACATTGACACTGTGTCAATGTTGTATCCAAATTTTTTTGCGGGGGGCCATTTTTTACAAGTATGTAAAATATTACCCAAACTGACATTGCATATTTACAACTGGACACCTAAGCACCACGGAAGCTTTTGTTTTGGTATAGTCAGGGTTCAAATATAGCAGAAACAATACTTCAAGTGTGGATGTAACGGTGTAAAAATCACTCAATGGAAGTGTGACATTTGGGTTTTACACGGTGTAAATGTTACGTCCACACAACCAAGCTATCATTTCTGCTCCATTTGATGCCTGACTACCATAACAAAAGCTTTTCTTATTGTGTTACATGTAGAGTAAGAAGTACGCAAAGTGAATTTGGGTAATGTTTCGCAGAAATTTAAAAAAAAGTACAAATGTCATATTTGGATGTTACACTGACAAAGTGTCAATGTTACGTCCAAGAAGACATTTTTTGCTCATATTTTTGGCAAAATACATTGAAATGATTTCAAACTTTCTGCAGTACTGAAACACCCAACAACAAATATTATGTCTGTATGTAGAGCAACTGCTAGCAAGGCATTCATGCTTTTTTTAATATGGTCATATGTCACACTTTGTTCCCCAACCTGGTGGAATGACCCACAGACGTTTTGGCTGCATTAAGTGGAGATTTGTTTTTCTAATGGTAAAAAGCCATGAAATTGGGCCCAGTTCATCAACCAACAAAGCGTAAACAGTGATGAGTACGAGTCCATATTCGGAGTCCGATGAAGTACCCTGATGTACATGTGCACAATAATGTGGTTTAATGTGGTACTCTTTATATGCCGTACTGTTTACATACATGTACACGTAATAGGAATCGGACTTAAAAAACAAAATGCCTTTGTGATCTGAGTACTGCCCAAGACATATGTTGCCAGGAATATAACTGCCTTGATAAAAAGCATGCTAAACATCTTAGTTGAAGCTCCTTTGGAGGCTGTCTCAAATACTGTCGCAAACTCACTGTATATTTGTTACATGCCTATGTTACTTGGACAACTAGCACACTAGGGGGAACTCGCACAAAACAAACACGCTTGGGGAATGAACTAACCGAACTGAAATAAACTCAGGATATTTGAAGGTAACGGTTGCAACGAACTGAAACAATCAAGACAAGAGACAAAATTCTTTAATTCAAACAAAAAAGATTAAAAAAACCCAGTTTTATTTACAACAGAAAACAACTGCAAATGCAATCTAAAATTTACCTTAAACCAAAAAAACAACAACTGCAAAGACCAAGACTAAAAATATAGACTAAAACAAATGACCAATAGCCAAACCAACTGGAACTAAACTAACGTAAAACCAGAAACTTCATCATACCAAATCAAA